TAATTAATTAAAAACATTATAGATTTATACAGAAATTAGATAAACAAATAAAATTCTTTGAATTCTATTATTTCACTAATAAAAATTGAACAAAAGAAAATAATTTTTAAAGCTCTTCAATATATGATTTTAAATGTCTTTAAAATGAAGCCTTTATCTGAATGATTAAAAAGAAATTGAAAAAAAAACTCGTCATGTGCAACAACTGAAAACAACATGTATCGTATGGAAGAAAACACGCGATCATGCCTTGTGATATATATTTTCTATATGTTACCAACAAAGCTTCTCTCGTTACACATTTCATTCTCATTTTCACAGAAAAAACTTGAGCTTTGGTAAGATAGAACTGTGCTTTTCATCATTTCTTAATATTTAAGGGAAGATGTCTTCTTAATTTGTGACAAACATTTGAAAACTTTGCATAAGAGCTGTAGAAAGTTACACGAAGTGAAATTCTCAAGATATTCATTAGTTTAGTCGTTTAAATTAAGATTTAATTATTGTGACATATGTGATAAAACACAGAGCGCAGAATCTAGTAATAAACTATGCTATATTGATTCTCGCTCGCTGACTTGAACATAAAATGTGCTCATTTTCACAACTTTTCTTCTCAAACTGAGCATTTTCACTCAGAATTGTGTTAGATCTCGTGAAAGTCGGACCGTAACATTCGTTTTTCCGTCATTTTCTCTTGGAAAAAATGGAGTAAAGTTAGAATAATTCAAGTAAAATCCTTTATAGCACGCAATATTTGGATTAAAATTATCATTAAACGTTAACATCACGCATAGAGTCACATAAAAAAGTGCTTTTAAAAGAAAAAATTGACTTTACACTGCAGAAAATCGCATAAGAAATTAAAAAAGAAAACTGTGAAAAAAGGAAAAAGAAACGAGCAAGAAAATTCTTTCATTGTGTTTGTGACCTACGATAGGGAATACGTTTCTGAAAAGAACAGAAATTTCGGTCAAAACAAGAAATATTAGAAAGGATATAATTCATTCAATCATTCCAGGATTCTATTTATTGATTCGTAGCTGAAAAAAAGCTTCATTATTAGTTTTATCCTTAAACGATTTAAAAGAGAATTGATAATGAGATCAAAAAATTCTCTGGGATATTCATTCATCGCTTTAAATGAAGAAGATAATTGAAGCATTTGGCACTTTAGCTTGAAAATAAAGTTAATTGTCGACGTGAAATTAAAAGAAAATCTAATTGAATTGAAGCAATTGCAACTTTGTTTGAACTTTCTATGAACGAAGTGTAAAAAAATGCTATTTATATCCCAGCTAATGATAATATAATATTTTAAGCATTATTTTATTTTCTATGACAGAAAATTTCTTCTTCTTCACGACGTTTTCCTTCTTCTTTGTTGAAAAGAAAAAGAAAATTTATTTTTGCGAGCCCGAAAAAAAGAGAAAGGCGTAAAAATCTCATGAGAAGTGAAATATTTATTCTCTGGGGAAATGCTTTTCACGTTGAAAAGTTTTTGAGAAGACAAATGATTCATGTTTTCTTTACTTCATATTCGACTAGATTTTCTTTCTATTTATTTTCAAGGCGATGATGTAAAACGTGTTATCATGTGTGTGTATGTGTGTGCTTATATAGCTGTTTATGTACATTTATCTATATAAACTTATTTATTCTTCATTCTCTTCTCTTTCATTTTTGATTGTCTTCATAAATAACTAGCAGCACGAGAAAGATAACAATGAATGATATTAATTGAATCTCAAACTTAAGCCATGGATTAAGAGCGAATACAAAACAAAACATTAAACAACAAGAGATATTGCAAAGTGATACATATAAATCGCAAAGCGAAAACCATAAAAAAGTAGAAGGATAAGTTAAAATTTAATTAAAAATATAAAGAAGTAAAGTGTTATTTAAAGTTCAGAGTGTAATCTTCTAAGTGTTATTAGATGTTGATAAGCGAATAGCGAAAAATGATGATGCATCAATGTTTTAGATAGCAAATGCAAGCGTTGCCGTTAAAGACATCGCTTCTAATTTTCGTAGTCGTCAAAAATGTCCAATGATTAATAAAAGTGAAAGACATAAAGTAACAAAATATCCCCGACACTATTTAAAGGGGGATGTCGTGTTGTGACGAAGAACAAATTATAACAACAACACCACTACCAGATCCTTGCCTTATAGATCGAAAATGGTGGTGTTTCATCTTGTCAAGCATATTCACATTTTTGGCTGGGCTTTTTATTGTTCTTTTTTGGCGAGCTCTCGCATTCGTATGTTGTCGTAAGGAACCAGAACTATCTCCAAATGATCCTAAACAGAAGGAGCAGAAGGCCAATCGCGGCAAGCAAGAGTTCGAAGGAACTTTTATGACAGAAGCTAAAGACTGGGCTGGCGAACTTATATCAGGCCAAACGACCACTGGACGAATATTGGTAAGTTAATTCACTACACTGAAATTGAATTAGCTATAATTTGCATATCATTTGGAATATGTCACTTTAAAATAGTTGCGATCGACCACAAAATTCGTGACCAACGACAGATGTTTGATTTACTTGACTCAAGCCACAATCATCATATTGATTTTCCCTCACTATATATAACTTTGGACACTGCTAATAGAATTTTAATGAAGCGTGTTTGAGTTGGTTTTCATGTTTCCTTTTCCGTGCTTTCCTTACGTTAATACAGACGTAGATGTTGTGACACTGCCTAAGTAGCTTGATATCGAATGTTTGTCAACTTTTTTTTGTTCTTTCCCCAAAAAGTGTTCGAGCTTTTATTGTTTAAAGACACATAGGAACAAACACTGATAAATTTCACAATTATCTTTTGTCAGCTCAATTTTGATTTCAATTATGTATTCGGCTATTAACCTAATTCTTTTAAGAAAAATACATAAAAGTATTATGAAGACAAATATTTTCTCTTTTGTGATATTAATTAAACTTTTATAACTGGAAGAAAAATTTTGATTTTAGTTATTTCAGTTTTGTTACAATTATTGATTTGTTCTAATAACATTTTAAACGAAATCTGGGATAAACTTGACGCAGAAACAATTTAGAATGAACGTTTAATGGAAAAACAAGGGAAAGCAAAAGAAAAAGGAAACATCAAAGTTTCTTTTTTTCTAACGAAACAATGAATAAACATAAACTAACTAAAAGTTTCCTGCCTGCATTAAAAACAACAAGGAACGACAGTTTTAAATCGAAAAAAAGGAAATTAAATGAAGTTTGCTTTCAACAGTGATAGGCGCTATTTATGTGTAAATTGAAATTTTCATTTGTTGATACTGAAATCGGTAATTCTGTGGATATTCATTTAGTTCCTTTTATCGATTAGTATGAAAATAATTTCTGTATAAATTGTAATGCGACAACAGGCTTGTCTCTTCCTTTGGTTAATGCGGTTTAAATTTCTTCCATTCTTTATAAAGTCATTCACAATTGTTAATGATGGTTTCAATGGCAAATGATTTATTATTTCAATTTTAGAAATTCCCTTCACTCGTCTACATGAATTAAAGTTCAATTCGTGATTATCAAATTTGTTCAATCTCAAGCAATTCGTATGATTTATCGCTGTTTGTTGGATAATCAATTTCTCGTGGTTGTATTGATTGTTGATTTATCTTTGCACTTTTAAAGATTCAAATTTTATGGCGAAATTCGATTTCATGAACATACATAAAATATTCAACATAAACATCTTTCGTGAAGATTTCATTTATTTAAAATAATCAATTCTAATGAGTCCATTGACTTTATGCTTGCAATAAAAAAATTTGCTTCACCAACTTTGGATTCCATCCAAGCTATAACCAAACTTATAAATAAATATTAGCTTGGGGCGAAAGAAATGTAATGTTTACATTTAAAAACTATATAAGCTCCATTACTTTTCTTATTTTATTTTGATAATAAAAGTTCAGTGGCTACAAAATTTATAAATTTTCTGCTTGGGTAAGCAAAAGATTTTATAAACAGATTAGGCAGTTTAGTGCTTAGTATGGAAAAAAGAAAATCTGTTGATATCATCGGAATTCATCGAGGGAATTCCCATTCCTTATATGTCAATACATAACCATGTGCAATATTAATTCAGTTATAGATTTGTTTCAATGACCTATGCTAACAGGAAATGAATTAGAAGGCTACTAGACGACGAGTTTATAAAAATATACACTTCAATCAATTGATTTGGCACCATTTCATAAATTCGCTTTCAATGTTCTTTCAAATTTAAATCAATGTGTCAATGTCAATGAAAATGAAGTGCATTTAATGAGCTTCAATTTGAATCACTTTCAATACTTAACTTTGCTTAAAATAAACTTAAAAACCTATAAAATCTTTTTAACTTTTTGCTTTTCATCGCATTCATTAAATTGTATTTAAAAATAAAATGTAAGGGACTTCATAGATTTTCTTGGGAGTAATTCATGAAAAATTAATGAAGATGAAAAAACACAAAATAAACAAGTGCGAGAGAGAGCTTTAGGGAGAGAATTTTCCTAATTTTCCTCAGCGCATGCGAGAGAGGAGGGAAAGCACGTTCGCCAATGTTCTTCTTACGTCCCTGACTTGCAATTTCTAAACATTTTTTTTGTTGGAAAAACAATTCATCAAGTTGTTCATGTCACTAATGTGCAGTTTTCCACTCATTCAAATGTTATAAATTAAGATTAAGCTTTCCAAATTGCATCTTATTTGTTATTCCTTTCCTTAATTATCCTGTGACACGTTTAAAATAAGAAAATATCGCGTGATAGTTTGAAACTGGTTCTTAAACTGTAATTTCATTGAAGTTAAATTGCATTCCAAAGCTTATAATTGTCATAAAGAGTGAAACACTCAATTAAAATTGTTAATTGCGTTTAAATGCAGAGAGAAATTTTTTGCTTTTAATTTTCTCTTAACTGATCGTACTATTAATAAATTAATTTGTCTTCACTATTTCCCAGGTGGTTCTCGTTTTTATCCTCAGCATCGCATCACTCATCATTTATTTTGTTGACGCATCATTTGAAGACGTGGAACGATGTGAAAAATGGAGCGACAATATAACACAACAAATCGATCTTGCATTCAATATATTTTTTATGGTGTACTTTTTTATACGAGTAAGTTACACAAGAAGTTACACAACATACTTATTTAAAAATATCAAAAGAGTAATAAAAGATGAAAGTGATTAATGAGGTTTAATCTTTCACTTCGCAGTTCATAGCAGCATCCGATAAATTTTGGTTTATGTTAGAAATGTACAGTTTTGTAGATTATTTTACGATACCCCCGTCCTTTGTATCGATATATTTAAACCGCACGTGGATCGGTGAGATTGATGATTATTTATACAAGTTAATACTTTATGACTCAAAGCATCTTTCTAGGTCTTCGTTTCCTTCGAGCACTTCGGCTTATGAGTGTTCCAGATATTCTGCAATATTTGAATATTCTTAAAACATCAAGTTCCATACGCTTGGCACAATTAGTCTCAATTTTTATATCAGTATGGTTAACGGCAGCTGGAATTATTCATTTGGTGAGTTTTTTATTTGTGAATTTAAATAATTAGGTTTTAACAAGAAATTTCTTATTGAATGACATTTAACAGCTGGAAAACTCGGGCGATCCATTACATTTTTCCAATCCACACCATTTATCATATTGGACATGCGTTTATTTTCTCATCGTTACAATGTCCACCGTGGGCTATGGTGATGTGTTCTGCGAAACAGTGTTAGGACGAACGTTTCTTGTGTTCTTCCTCCTCGTCGGATTGGTGAGTGAACTGTTTTCAAAACTATCCCAACATTTTCCTCTTTATATGAAACTTTTAAACTTCCTCTTGATTTATATTTTTGAGACTTTTTTCATTCACAATAAAGAAGATGATGAAGAAAAGAAATATTTTTAACATTAGGAAATAAGAAGGAAAGAAAGAAAAAAAAAAGACTTTAAAGAAATCGTTTTCCCGTTTGATGAATGTAAACAATAAATAAAGGAATTTTAAAGATGAAGTTTAGGTAACATAAATGACATGAAAGAGAAAAGTATATTGAAGATATTTGTTGTAAAAGATTTCTAGCTTATGCAAACAAAAAGAATGCTTCTTTTTATGTTTTCGTTTATTTTATGAACCGAAGAACAAAAGCATTAAAATGAGAAACTGAAGCTGGTTATAAAGTGTATAAAGATTTTAATCTTGTTGTTTATCTTGTCATTTTAAAGTCAGCTTCTCTCAGAGTTGAAAGCACTTAACATTATTTTCATTAAAGTTGCGCTCTTAAATTTTTTATAGAATTAAAAAAAATACAATAATTCATTCATTTTAAGAACCGTAAGATATCTTATGAAAAAAATATAAGAAAACATTAATGATTATAAACATGAGCAGCGATTCAGTTAATATATTTATCGATCTATGTGTAGGAGCTGATGATGATGATTAATGGAATTTAGGAAGACAAACAAATTTTGATGATTTTTCTATTTGTTATCATTAATTATAATTTGACATGGTCAAGTCGTTCATATAATTAAGTTGTACAACTTTCCAATTAATATATTACAAAAAATCAGAAAAGTTTAAGTGTGCATGATACTTCAGTTTAATTTGATATTTATTATGATATGAAAAGGAGCCTTTAAAATTACATATCATAAAAGCAGAATCAGAATTCTAATTAATATCAACCTTGTAGACAACTATTTATTTACTTAGTCAGCTTTATGTCTTCCTTAATAAAAGATACCTAATTAATTTTATTAAACAATGGGTTGCGGTTGCGGTGCATGAAATCAATGGCTGTTGCATAGTTAACTAGTTAGTTTAATCCGATAAACAACAAAGAAATCGTTTGGCAAACGAGAAGAGCAAGAAATTGTATCTAAGAAAGCAGCGGAGCGAAAAGAAAAGTTCATGTCCTTCTACCCTCAACATTTTCCTTATTCCCATTTATGAAGATTACTTTTAATAAATGTGTAGTTATAGAGTCGAATATGTAACCATGAAAAATATGGTTTTTGGCATTTTCTTTAGGCCATGTTTGCCAGCAGCATTCCGGAGATTATTGAACTGGTTGGAAGTGGTTCAAAATATGGGGGTGAATTGAAAAGAGAACATGGAAAGAGGTATAACTAATGGAGAAAAAATAGAAGATAGTCGAAAGGAAATTATTTCAGTCAATTCAGCCTCATAAAAAATCTATAGAAATGTGATTGAATAAATATTCCCAGCTCCCCTTCTGTGTGCGCCACCCTCTAAAAAGCTCTATTAAAGACCATCGATTCTTATCCACATTTGATTTTCTTTTATCACTTCTAAGCTAATTCTTTAATATCTGCTTAGATTATAGTCTGTTATCCCCGATTTATTTATCTCATATTTATTGATATTTACAAACTTTTCTTTAGACAAAAAAAAAGATAGAGAAAGAAAGAAAAATATTTAAAATTAGGTATATGTCGAAACTATGATTTTTAATTCATCCTTGATTTATGAACAATAAGTATTTGGTAACAGTTCAGATTGTTTTACTGTGCTAACATTTTGAAGTTGTTTCTCCTATTTTTTTTGGTGTGTATGTATGTAAATAAAAATGCCGAAAATATTTCTGTAGGCATTTTAAAGTTTCTTATTTTATTGAGCAATGTTTTAAATTACATTTCTTGCATTAATTCTTTTCATTCAGTAAGTTGGCAAAATTTCTTAAAGAAATTTCTTTTGTTCATCTTATGTTTTAATTTTAGTTTTGTTTTTTGAAGAAAGTTAGAAATATTTAAAGTTGAAGTTACTCTTTAATTTTATGATGAATAAAAAATAGTTCGTGACAAACATAGCTGTCCCTAGTAATTTATGTGACAATCTCAACCTTTTCTTTTCCAAATTTACAAAGACGTTTTTTGTATTCCCAAGACTTTTGTAATCCCATGTTCTCAACATTAGACTTAGATCGTTAACACCAACCAACCCTTGAATCCTATTCTAAAGAAAGTTTATTAGATATCATCAAGAACGTCCTATTTTTAATTCATTCTACAATTTATTGAGTTTATTTTTGTTTAGATTCGATATTATTTTGCGTTTTGTTCTCTTATGGCTCACCATTTGCTTTTGAATTGAAGCATTTTTCAATTATATGATTACTTCTAGGTTTGTTTTCTTATTATAAATATACATATTGATATGAATAAGCAATCAAAGTATTTATAATCACTTATGATAACATAAAAGTGAAAACATGCGCAACAAAGTTCATATTTATCTACTAAGTAATTAATAATTAATTATTTTTGCATTCAGGAGATTTTGATAATAAGAAAAGGATGAGAAAAATCTAATAATTTAATTGGCGTAACAAATTAGAAAGAAAAAAAATATTTCAATAATTTTTTTTATCTAAAATATTTATAAATATCAACACAAATAGAATTACGATAGATAAGAATTTTTTTTAATTAATATTAAAATATCTTTCATTTGACATTTAGGAAAATGAAAATTGATAAGTTTTTAGTTATGATTTCAACTCAAGGAAGATAATAAAAAATGTCATGTATCGTATAATATGTAGGCGGTGTTTGCAAGTTGGATACCTGAAATAACAGAACTCGCTGCTCAACGTAACAAATATGGTGGAAAATATAACAAGGATGTCCGAAAAAGGTACACAGGAAAAAGATGTACCAAATGATTGAATCTTTTTTTTTTACTTTTTTGGTTTGACCTTCCGTTAATTAATTAATTTTCTTGATCATTCAGAATTATGATTTCATTGATACTAACTTTTATGCTATTTATTATGCAAAAGATTACAAAAAGCTTACATTCTGATGAACTTGATATTTGTGGAAGGTTAGTTGGTTGAATAGTTTAGAAGGTCAAGTTCATCAAATGTAAACTTTAAAGACTACACTTAGTTATGATTCATTTGATAAATATGTTATATGAAGAAAAATCTTTTAATCATGTTTTCCTCGATAAATCTCAAAGCTTATATTTTATAAAAAATAAATCTAATGTGTCTCTTCTCAAAAGAAAGTTTTTAAAAATGTAAATAAACATTCAGGATCAAGAATTGCCTTGAGAAAGAACATTAGTGCTTTGACTTTTGTTTGACTTTCTAATATGATTTTCAATTCGTTATTTTAACCATCAATAACTTTTTATGATAATTATCATTTTGATCAACCAGCCAACATGAAAAATAAAACATTTTATTATCTGTAACGGTCACCAAAAAAAAGTCAAACAATTTGCCAGATCAGATTAATTGGATTGAAAGAATATTTCATGCAACTTACATGAGATTTACACCT